TATATATATATATATATATATATATATTAGCTTAGTGGTGAGCTTTTTCTTCTGTTTTTTTGTTATTTGTTCTACTCGCAGGCTAATTTGGTGCCAAAGCTGGTAAGGCAGATGGCAAAAGCTTGGAAAGCCGACAATGGCTGCCTGTAGTCAACAGTGAAAGTATCATCACCGACCTTACCGAACTGCAGAAGCACTGTCTCTTCGTCTCCTTTCCCACTCGGCTGGCTCAGCTGGAAGTTCTTGACCGATGCCACCGTCACTCTCCCATGGAAGTTCAGGCACCAACACTGTAAATGCTCGTGCCATCTCGGCGCTTTGTTCTTCAGTATCGTCACACCAGACCCTTCTCCTACCTCGGGTTTGTCTGAATCGGTCGGCTTCTGGTTCAGGGATGTATTTACTGGGCATGTAGTAACAGAGCAGACCATTCTTCTCGGACCTCTCGATTTCAAGAGGTTGAATTTGTAGGAGACTTGCCCGACTTCGAAGTTGCCGGACGAGACTTGCGGGCTTATTCGCTTGGATGCGAATCTCCGACTGGCCCTGTGGCTTGATGGTTTTGCCCCGCTGTGTGGCGGTTGACTGTCGTATATTGTGAAGTTTGTCCCTAGGAAATCCGATCTGCCAGAAAAAAAAAAAAAACGTTTTCTTCTCGGGTTTACAAAGATAGGGCAAAAACAGAGTCTGCTGCATAGAGTTTTTTTACCTTAATTTTCCGACATAAGCGTTGCTTCCTTGAGAGAAATCATCAGCATCAAGGGATATTATGTATTCAGTATAAGCACCATTTCTGAACCTTCGGGCCGCCAGAAGAAACTTCCCCTTGTCAGTGAATGCTGTTAACCAAAAAAAGACACAAATGTGTCAATTATCAAATTTACTTTAACTGTATAAAATCGAACGATTCCTTTAATGCTTTTTATGTCTTCCATGATACAAAGGACATGAAAAACTGTAACGCCCTTACAAATCTGAGACTCTAAAAATTGGATTAAAAAAAAGTTATAACAGTGGTCAACATTTATAACATGATTGGTTGGGAAGTTTCTTCATTGACCACTTCAATAGATTGTCGGATGAAAGACTGAGACACGCAGAAATCTCTATCTCTATAGCAAAGTCATAACATCATTCTCACTCACAACCAGACCTGACTAAGCCACAAACAAAGTCATATTTTCAGGCTTTGACTGAGTCAACTCTCTCTCTCTCTCTCTCTCTCTCACACACACACACAAAAACACAGACTCACTTCTAATGCATGCATAATGTAGCTGATGAGGGTCCTACAATTCTCTTGGATGAAGAAACATACCCAGTAATAAAAATGGTTACTTACATGGAGTAAGAGCAAGATACAAGAACAAAGTCGATGTCCTCTTGTTCCGCCTTATAAGACACTGATTCGGAAAATCTCGGGGACCTGGCTGCATCACGGAGAGAACCAACAGATCTCAGTTACCCATTTCGGATTTTAACAAATGGAGAGGCCACATTGAGTTTGAATGTAATACAAGCAGATAGCATCATTGTTAAAGATATGAAATTGAGGCATATCAGTGGCATACAATGTCAAGAATCGACACCATTTAATCGCTAAAATCTTGTAACCTTATTGTGAAAACTTCACAACTAAAAGGGGACACAAGAAGAAAAGAGCTAGGAATTGTTGCACACAATCTATTTCCCCAATACAGATAACAAAATTTTCCCAAGAATTTTGTAGAAACCGATACGATTGCCAACCAATTCTCCTAAGCATTCCACCAAATTGTGCAGCAAGGTCATATATTAGCTGACGAAGTTTGTTCAACTATATTCCTCAAATGCTATAAACACCAAACTTTGCCATATCCCCAATTTCTGTGGACAAAATTCCAGAATGGGAAAAATACGGAAATCAATTATACAGACTTCAGGGAGATGCTGTTTAACCCTAATCAAACAGAGCAAACACTAAACCATTCAAACTAACGTGTAAATTTACCGAATCTAGATCAGCCGTCGATACTCATCAACCAGAATCGCCAGAGATACCCCGTATAATCAAATCGGAAAGAGAGAACAGAAATCGAAGAGGGGGACCACAGGAGAAATCTACCAGTTTGAGACAAGAAGGGAAGGTGATTTTGCCGGAGGTATCAGGAGATCTAACAATCTCCCTGGTGATCTCCCTCCACTTCTTCGAAACGCAGGCGCAGGTGACGACATCCCGCCGCTGCGGCCACCGGTCCTCGGTCTCCTCAACGCGACGTATTATCTCTCCAAGCAACTCCGGGAGCATCGCGGACCATGACCCGGTAATCTCAGACTCCGGAGGCGGAGGAGGCGGCGAGGACGATTCTTCCGCATCGGCGGCCGCCATCGCCCCCACGGTTTCCCCTTGCTGGTCCCCGAACGACCGCGAGAAACTCCGAGAGAAGAAAGATCGTCGTAGAGGCATTTGCGAAAGAGAGAGATGAAATCTCTGATTTGTAAAGAGAGAGAGAGAGAGAGAGAGAGAGAGAGAGAGAGGAGGAGGAGGAGAGAAGTTGGTTTCGGGACGGAGCTGGAGAAACCGAACGTGCGAAATCTGGTGTGGAGTGACCTTTCCGCTAAACTGACGGAGCGGTGACGGGTAAAATAGGTGACAAAGGAGCGAATGAGGAAATCTACGGACACGTGTCGTTTCATTAGTGGTGAGACAGTGAATTCTGATTGTAAGGAGAGATTCTATGCTACAACTAGGGATGTACATAATATCCGGAAAAACCGATCCGATCTGTTATTCAACTCGTATCTGAATCGAAAATTCGGATATCCGGAATCCACAGATCGGATATGGATATTGGTTTCAAAATATTTGTCGGATACGGATCGGATACGGATATCAAAATAAAAATATCCGATATATTCAATCTGATCCGTACTTTTTAGTAATATTAAAAATATATGGCTAGTTTTGTAATTAGTTTATATGTAAGGATAACTTTATAAAAAATAAAACTTAAGTTAGGGTTTTGTCAAGAACACTCCTACGTGAGTTCTTCTTCTGCTGCCGCTTTCCTTCTTTGTCTCTCTCTCCCCCTCTCTCAGTCTCTGCTAATTCTCTGTTCTTCTGCCTTCGCCTCCGCAGCTACGTCACTCCGCTCTCCTCCGGCGGTGCTCCCCCGCCTCTGTCCTCCACAATCCTCCACGCTCCGTCGCCGATTGCACAGTGTGGTTGTTGCTGCTCGGCTCACCTCTCATCTCACTCTTAACTTGAAGGCTTTCTGCGAGCTGTCTAACGGTACCTTCTGACGCATTTGTCAGGATCGCTAGTTGTGTCTTTGTGAGTGTTACTGTCCTTAGGGTTTCATGCAAAAGATTGACATCCAATTTTTCTTGTTTAAGTTCTCTGATCTGGAAGTTTCTGGAACATCGGTGTTCTGCTTCTTGTTTCTAGTGGAATCTTATAGGTTTGGTTGTTGTTTTCCTTTATGTGGGTATTAAGAACATATCGGGATGGAATTGATAGGTAGGGACGGAAAAGATTGTTGATGCAAGTGGAAAGAGAGTGTTGCTGGAGTTGTAGGCTTCTTGTATTCCGCTAATTTTGTGGAACTCATTATTTTTTTATTTTTTTTGTTTAGATGGAGTATGTAGCAGAAAACTCAAAGACGCCTATCAACAATTCAGTCCCGATTACAGAGGAGACAAACTCAGTGTCTGTGCCGGCAAGTGACGAGAACGTTGGATCTCAGGTACCTAGACCTCGATCACATGTTTGGGATCATTTTGAAAAAACAAATGAAGGATTGAAAGCTAGATGCAATCATTGTTCTGGATTGATTAGTTGCCGAACAAAAAGGGGGAGCACCACTAGTGCAATGCTTAATCACTTGAAAACTTGTTCGCGTTTAGTACGTGATATACCTGATGAGAAGCATGAGGAGAAGACGAAAAAACAAGTAACTTTGCATTATCGATTGAAAAGGGAGGTTGATGAAGTAGATAGTTCCCCCTCTTATGTGCAATTTGATCAGGATGCGTGTCGTAAGGCATTGACGAGAATGATAATTATAGATGAGTTGCCTTTCCGACATGTAGAAAAGAAAGGGTTTGAAGATTATACACATGCGCTTCAACCTTTATTTTCAATACCGTCTCGAAGGACTTTAGTTCGTGATTGTTTGAATCTGTATGTGGAGGAGAAGAATAAGCTGAAAAAGTTTTTCAAAAGTTATACGGCTGGTGTTTGCCTTACCACAGATTTATGGACATCCACTCATAATCTTATCTACATGTCTTTGACGGCACATTTCATTGATAGTGATTGGATGTTACAGAAGAAAATCATCAATTTTTGTCAAGTAACTAGTCATTCCGGTTATATAATTGCGAAGACAGTTGAAAGATGTTTACTTAACTGGGGAATCGACAAAGTGTTCTCTGTTACAGTAGACAATGCAAGTGTGAGAAATAATGTTCTCTCTTGCATTGATACGTAATATAAGTCAATAATATATACAGAAGATAGGTGTTATATCTAAGGGATTACAAGAGAAGATAAATGAGGTTGTTACATATTATAAGCAATCACGTAGATTTGATACTGTCGAATATTGATCTTTGATTGAGTCAATGATTTCCTTCCATTACGCCCCCTCAAGAGTGGTGTCGGGTGAGACTCCGATCTTGAGTCACAAATCTTCAAAGCGAGTTTGCGGTAATGGTTTCGTAAGGCCATCGGCAAGTTGATTGGATGAAGAGACATGTGAGACTCGTAGTTGTTTGGCTTGGACTAAACTCCTTATATAATGATAATCAATCGCAATGTGTTTCATCCTTGAATGAAATACCATGAGAAGATAAGAAATGTTTGAGAGAAATAAACTCTCCCCCGTTATCCGAATAGAGTGAGATGACTTTGGTTTGAAATCGATTTTCGACGAGGGCTTTAAACTTAACAAAAATTTGATGGACATCGGATTTATTTTTAAGTGGGTACAGTCATGTATATCGTGTATGATGATCAACAAATATAACAATAATATTTGTAACCATCAAATGATAAAACGGGAGATGTCCATACATCGAAAAACAAGATTTCAAGTGGTCGAGAAGAGGACAAGGTGGAGATTGAGAATGAGTGTTTATGACTTTTATTGATGAAACATGAATCACAAGACAACGGTAGACTCGATTTGTTGGACGTAGGAAGAGAAAAACACGACACGATTTTATTAAGGACCTCACTCGAGGGATGACCTAAACGGTGATGCCATTGAAAGAGAGATGTTTTGACAGTGGGAAAGGCTCGGGGTAATGAGGTGGACTTGTGGGAAAGGAAAGGCCATTCGTACACACCATGGTTAGGCCGCCCGCAGACCATTGTTGTTCCCGTTTTGCGATCCTTCACCTGAAATTGGTCAGAGAAAAATTCAACAGAGACATCGTTAGAGGAACATAGTGTTGGGTTTCCTGGGATCTCATCAGCGAATCCTATTCCTAAGAGATCGATTCTAGGGTTTGCACAGCGGATGAAAACCAAAATTTTAATAAAACCCTAGAACCATGCTTCTATGATTCATAGAAGAGTAAGACCGTTAACCTCAATCGATCTGGGACCTGTTTCAATTGAAGAACTCGTTCGATCACGAAAGGGAGGAAGAATACCTCGCCTCTACACGTATTCACACCTCGGGATGGATTCCAACCTTTGGAACTTGTCTGCTAGGACTCGAATCTTCTATTCGATGATGTGCTTTGAGAAAACGTGACTTAGATCACTTCTTGGACCCTCTAGACTCTCCAAAAAGGTCTCTTGAAGTTCTTTAGGTCGACCACCACTTATTACGGTTAATTTTCTCCTTTTTTTTAAAGTGATTAACCCTAATTCCGGATTTTAAATTAAATCCGAAACCCAGACCGAACGGACTGCTTAGTAGTCCATTCGGTCTGGACACTTGGTCTGTTCGAACCAGTCACATAACTCAGTCCGTTCGTTCGGATTGGTCAGTCCGTTCGGTCCAACACTTGGTCCGTTCGGACTGGACTCTCTAGTCCGTTCGGTCCAACAACTTGGTCCGTTCGGACTAGATGCTCTAGTCCGTTCGGTCCACACCTAGACCGAACGGTCCGGACCTATTGTCCAGATTTCTCGACGTTTTCTTGTGCATTTGTCCTTCCCTGCGTGTGTGACCCTGTAGGCTCATTCGATATAGCAGTATAACCCGAAATCTCTATTCCGGATATACAAGTCATAGGCGGTCTCTAGCAAGACACTATGACTACCTATCTCGAATAGAGTTTGTTCTTGATCTTACGAACGCCAAAGATGATTCCGGTTGATGATCCTTTTGTATCACGATATCATATGTCGAATATAAGGCATGGACAAGCCACCTTATCTGATTCGACTGCTTTCTCGTTCACTGAGTTCGACTGTCTGAAATAGACGACGTTCGTCTATAGTGCGGCCACACATTTCTACAGTCTCGCTCACACGAGGGGCCCAGCGATATCTCTCTCTTTTACGAGAGGTACAAATCCTGTCTTGACTATCTACAATCCTGCACATGATTCGTTTCGTACCTGATACACGTCTTTATAGTCCTCCTGTTACGCAGGACATTTGACGTATTCAAAGCACGAAACTCCTCATGTTGGATTCCGTAGACATCTCAGGTCTTAGGATCCAATCATGCAACCGTCATATGAGATTCAAGTCATGATGCTAGTCCATGTGACAATCTCATGTGGGTCAATCCAGTATTCCGTTCTCCAACGAATACCTATGATTGTGATCGTATCCAATACGCCATATGAGATTCAAGTCATGACGCTAGTCCATGTGACAATCTCATGCGGGTCATCCAGTATTCCGTTCTCCAACGAATACCTATGATTGTGATCGTATCCAATACCTATGATCATCTATATGATCATCAATCACACATCATACTAGTCTTGTTATATCATTATTCCCACAATGTTCCATGACTAGGGAGTTTAGTATTGTTCATAACAATACATGGATTTCATAACATATTAAAGCATGCACAATATGCAATGAATCAAACACTCATCCATAAACTATAGAAAGTGTCAGTACATCAAATGTATCTAAGTAAAGCTCGCAAACAGTACATCATAGAGCACTAAACCAACAATCTCCCACTTGCTCTAATCATGGACTGCTAAACATCTAATGCCCATATCCCTAACATGACCCTTATGCGTTGACGAAGGGAGAGGCTTCGTCAACGGATCGGCAATGTTGTCATTTGTCGACACTCTTCAAATGTACACGTCTCCTCTGTCTATGATCTCCCTGATAAGGTGAAATCGTCTGAGTATGTGTTTGGATCGTTGATGGGATCTGGGTTCTTTCGCTTGTGCGATTGCTCCATTGTTGTCGCAATATAGAGCAATGGGGCTATCAGCACTAGGAATGACACCCAAGTCACCAACAAACTTTCTGATCCAAACAGATTCCTTTGTTGCGTCCGACGCTGCAATATACTTAGGTTCTGTAGTAGAATCTGCAACGGTCGCTTGCTTG